ATTATCTCCTTAAGGGGAGAAAAAAAGTAAAGTAAAATAAAAAATAAATAAATTTAAAAAAATTTTTAAATAAAAGATTCCTTGTCTTTGCTATTTTAATGTTTGATTTATGATGTGCCCTGATGTTGGCCTCTTTGGGTTGATTCATCTTGGTTGGGACTAATGGCATTTACTGGACTTGTCTATTTCCTTTGCTAGGTTAGCAAGTTTTCCATTTTCATTTCTTCAAACAGGTTTTCAATTCCCTGCTCTCACTATTTTCCTTTGGGTTTGCCTATGATGCAAATGTCGTTATGCCTGATGTTGCCCCCAAGTTGCCTAAGCTATCCTCATTCTTAAAAATTATTTTTCTTTTAAATGGGGTGTTTTCCACTACCTTGTCTCCCAAATCACTTATTCAATCCTCTGCTCTGTCTTTTCTGCTTTTGGTTCCATGTAATGTATTCTTCATTTCTGACTGGTTCTTTTTTATGGTTTCTATTTTCTTGTTCACACTGAGTTTACCTACTCTTCCCTTAAGTTCATTGAGCATCTTATAAACGTGTTTTCAATTCTGTATCTGGTAGATGGCTTGCCTCCATTTCATTTAGTTCTTCTTCTGGAGTTTTGTCCTGTTCTTTCATTTTGGACATATTTCTTTGTCTCCTCATTTTGGCCTCCTTCCTGTGTCTGTTTCTATGTATTAAGTAGATCTACTACATTTCCCAGTCTTGGCAGGGTGACCTTATTGCAGGTGTCCTGTGGAGCCTAGTGGCAGAGTCTCTCTAGTCACCCAAACAGGATGTTCCAGGTACATCACTTATGTGGGTGGTGTGCGCCCTCCTGCTATAGTTGAGCATTGATTGCTTTGGCGTATCAGTAAATGGAACTGACCCTCAAGCTGACTGGCCATAAGGACTGGCCATGACCACAACAGATGTGGTTTGTGAGGAGCTGACCCCATGGAGTAGATTTTGCTGTATCAAGGCTCTGATATCTGCTGGGTCCCCCTTCTGGTTATGTTGTTTTTGGAGTTAATTGGGTGGTGCTCCGGTGTGATTTGAAGCCAGCCACTGGGTATACTACTTCTTGGGAAGGGTTCTGCCACAAGCTCAGGTCGTTCACTGCCTGTGCCTGGCCCAGGGCCACCTAGTAGGAGCTACAAAGTAATCTGCGGTTGGTAGCTGCCTGCGCTTAGAGGCACCTGGGAGAGACTATGCTGGAAACCGAGGCCAGCCGCCACTAGTGCCAGGTTGGGGGCCGCTTAGTAAGAGGTACAGGGCATGATGAGGTCAGCCACTGTGGGTCTGGGGTTTATGGACCTTTCAGAGATTTTAGGCAAGTCCACAGCAGGCAGTCAGCCTCTGAGTAACAGCCACTGAAAGAGGTTCTGGTCTATGCACTTATTGGATAGGCCGGGTTCTCAAGTAAATCACCATGGTGGAGTGAGTTTAACAGAGACTCAGATTTGGCACCTGCCTGCGCCTACTAGCTGTGTGGGAGAAAAGCTCAACAAAGAAACAATGGCACCCACCAGCACTTCTGTCCTAGCCAGTGCTGTCCCTGCTGCCCTCACCCTGAAGACAGACAATTTAGCTCCTCCGTGTATGTCCCTGGCATTTTTTGAGCTGCTGTCCCTGCACTGGAGCTCAGAGTCAGTGAGTCCATCTGCCAATAAGCCATGCATGGGCCCTTTAAAAGGAACACCTAAGACTCCAGCAGCCCTCTGTTTCACCGGGGCAGAATCCCAGATGATTTTCACAGACAAATGGTATGGGGACTCCTCTTTTCCACACTGGTGTTCTGGCCTGAGATGCCCAGCATGGGGCTGGGAGCTCTTGCTCCTCAGGAGAGCCCTCCACAGCTCAGATATCCCTCTCAAAGCTTAAACTGCCACAGATGAGTATGGGTCTGGCCCATTTCATGTGTCAGCCCCTCTCCTACCACTCTTGACATGACTTCTTTATATCCTAATTATAGGAGTTCTGTTCAGCTAGTCTTCAGGTTCTAAAGGGTGGTTGTTCTATAATTTAGTTTTAATTTTAATTTGGTTGTGGGAGAGGTGAGCATAGCATTTACCTACTCTACCATCTTGTTCGGATGTTCCCGTCAATTATCTCCTTATAATTTTTATTTTCCAAATTTCTACAACAAACTTTTTAAATTGTTTTTTTAAAAATAATTTTTACACTTTTAAAATAAAAAAAATCCTTAAATTCTAAGTAAAGAAAAATTCTGATAGGGAACTATATAGAGATCTAATTTTTAAAATCTAATGAAAACATAATCTCTAACCAATGAGCCAGCAAATAAACTCAAAATTGAGGGTGATCCACAGCATTACTGAATTTTTCTGACCTGGAGAAGACTTATCTAGAAAAGTTAAAAAAAGAGAGACTTTTTTAGGTAAATATGTATGTGTAAGACACTCTTTTATGAGCTCTAAAGAAGTGCATTATCTCACTTAATCCTCCAAACAACATAATAAAGTACTACTTATCCTCATTTTACAAATCAAAAAAAATCCTGAGGCCTAGTAGTTTTCACTGACATATTCAAGATCATAAATGCAAGTGGCAATAGTAGCTCTTCAAAAGTTCTAGCTCCACACTTCTACTCAGTAAGTACTCCCTCTAAATGAGGTCCAACAGAATTTAAAAGAATACCTTTGGCAATTTCCCCACTTCTTTGCCAACTTTATCACTGAAGTTAGTATAAAAAATCTTTCTGGTTATTAAGTAACTCTAGGGTTTTATGAATACAACCCTAGAACCCTGCAGAAATGGAATCTAAAAAAACAAGATCCAGAAAAGCAACCTTCTTCCCAAAAAGCCTATGAAAAAAACAAGAAAAGGTATATTCTGATCATTCTTTTAGCTCTTGCTACTTTATTCACTCACTCTATGACTAGATTTTTTAAGGTTCATCTTCTTTCATAATCAATTTGATAGCATTTAATGCCAATACTGGCAAGAGTATAGGGAAACTAGTATAGAGAAACCAACATACTGCTGGCACTGTTAATAAATTGGCTAAATCTTTTTTAAAACCGTTTGGAAATACATAGCAAAAGATTTTTTTTTTTAATGTTTATATGCTTTGATTTAAAAACTTTTACTTCAGAAAATCTATTTTGAGAATAAATAAAAAGTTATATACAAAGAGATGAACATTATCTTGTTAAATAGAACAAAGACTAACTTTCCAACTATAGGAAACTTGGCAAATAAACTACAGGATATCAAATCATGGGATCTTAGATGACAATTAAAATAGGTGACAGCAGTAATATGAAATGTTTACAAAATAAGTGGCAAAAAGTATTATTTTATGCATAATATAATCTCTATACTAAAAAGCCCCTATGCCTAAAAAGAAATAACTCAAAGATTAAGGAAAAAACAAAAACAAAACAATTCACAGACATAAACAATAGTATGGTGATTACCAGAGGGAAAGGGAGGTAGGCAGAAGTAGAAGAGTGTAATGGTGATAGAAGACTTGATGTGGGGTGAATACACAATCAAATGTACAGATGATGTATTATAGACCTGTACACCTAAAACCTATATAATTTTATTAACCAATATCACCCCAGTAAATTCAATCAATATAAAAATAAATCACTTCTTGCAGAACAAAAATAAAAAGAAATGATTCAAGTACTAAAATGTCAAACGTGGGTATGAACTGATGTCGTTTTTCTCTGTATTTGGCAAATAGTCTGTCACGAGCATTTCATTAATTTAAAATAAAGTAAGAAAACCAAAATCTCAAACATGCAAACTATAAAAGCCTATGTAGGAGATAACCAAATCTCCATCCCCTATGAACTCAGTTTTAAGTAAGAAAAAGAAATAAATATGCAATTAGAGGCAACAGCTCAGAGAGCAGCCCATCACCTCCCCAGGACATGGCCCCAGGGCCCTGCACGAAATGGTAACTACACCATAAGACCTCGAGAGGACCGCTCTCATTCCCCACTAAAGTCATGGTGCCACAGTATATACAGGGTACTACTTTTTTGAGAAATGGGGGAATATAAATACATTTACTACAATTTTGCATGTACTTATACAAAGAATCATTAGAAAGATAAACCAAAACTAATATAAATGGTCACCAAGGAGAACAGATGGAAGGGAGTTGTATAAGTAAGAATTCTCTGAATATACCTTATTACATGATACTGACTATGGAATGTTCATTTGTTTATACTCAAAAAATTAAACCTATAAAAAAAATTCTTAAAAGTTAAAAACAACACAAAATAGACAGCCATAACTGTATGTCAAATTGACATTTGAGAAAGAGGAAAAATAAACAATTCAAGCAATATTAGAACAAACTATTTTGACTGTACATCCTTAGTAACAGATGTTCTGGACACAAAGATATGCAAAGAAGTCATAAATGTCTCAAATAGCCATTTTTTTTAAGAGATGAGAGGGTGAAATGACATAATTCCTAAGATTTGCTTTAAATTATTATAGCAAAGATAAAGAGATAGCTGAAGCAGGTGTGCTAGTATCTTGATAACCACTGACTCTAAATGATGGGTATATGGGAGTTTGTTACCCTGTTCTCTATACTTTTACAAGCATTTGAAACTTTTCATTAACAAAATCTTTTTTAAGCCTTAATTGCTCCCTCTACCATTAAGGGCCAATCCCTAGGCTCAGCAATGCAGCCAGCTTTACTACCCACAGCAGCTACACCAGCCACACTAGACAGCACACCATAGGCCCTCTTATTGCCTCTGCCCAAAATGCCTTGTTTCCTTCTCCCCCAACTTTCCAAATGTTACCTCCTTTAAAAAGTCTTCCTAAACTCACAGCCTCTATCTGTACTCCCAAAATGAGAATAGTAACCCCATGGAGACATTCCACAGCAGGTTAAAAAACTGAGGGGTGACCTTGGATTTCCACCCATCTATACCACCCAACCCTATCAACTAGAAGTCACTCTTGAAGACCTTCTCTGAAGTAGACAGGGATGGGCTAGACTCCACATGAGCCTACCTGACTATAGGCAGGAACATCTCTGAAAGGTCCATAATCCAGGAGGTCCTCGGATCGTGTGGGGTTCCCCAACCTGGTGTAGCTTTCCACATTTCGAGAGGCAAGCTTCACACGCATAGTCTGTGTCTTTGTTGGATAGGGAGAGTAGAAATAATGGTTGCCCTCAAACACCACAAACTGTTTCTCTGATTGAGTGATCTGGGTTGGATAGGGTTGAAGCACATGGGTATAGACTGCTTCCAAAATGACTGAAATCTTGGTCCCAGGATCAAGAGCAACTGGGAGCTTGACCGTGAAGAATCTCCCACTGCAGGAAGAATGAGCAAGAGAATTAAGGAAATTAAAAACAGCTAGGAACTCAAAATTTATACCCAAAATGAAAGCAGTTACCTTTAAGAGGTCACCTTTAACTTACTAACCAAAACATTTTAAGAAAAATATCTGAATGTTCTCTTCAAGGTTGTTTATCATAGTAAAGGAGTACAAAACCACCTAAAATGTCCAACAATAGGAAAACAAAAAAATTCCAGTAGAGAGCCACACAATGGAATCTTGACAGCCACTAAAAAAGATGCTTAGATCTACCTGTATTAAACATTTCTGTGTACAATGTAAATAACGAATCACTTTAAAAAGACATGGTATGATTCCTTTTAAAAATATATACATACACAAATATGTGAAAAAAGTGTTTCAAAGAATGTTCCACACAATGTTTAATGGTAACGCTCTCAGGGTAGGAAGATAAACTTCATTTTGTTGTGTTTTTCCAATTTGTTTTATAGCGAGCTTGTATCACTCTCAAAACCAGAAAGAAATAAAGCTACCACCATTTGAAAGAAAAAGACATGGCCTAGAAACTACTAAAATTCATAAAGTATTAACTCAAAAAAATGAATCTGAGCTTATTATGCCAGGAGTCCAATTCTTCATAGACCCAGAAACCATTAGTGGAAAACTGAAGGCATGTTAACATGTTTTCATGGTATTTAGAGTTCTTAAAAGTCTTCATAAGTCACACCTTTATACTTCCTAACACTACTCTGAAGTACATACTCAAAATCTGTAATAAGCCCTATACCTTCTTCAGGAAGTCTTAACAGTTCTTGGTTTCAAGTCCCAAACCTGCTTCTCATCCCATTCTCTATCCTGAGCTATAAACTCAAATTTTCAAATGTTCACTAGACAACTCTGCTGACCACCCCACAGGCAATTCAACACACCCAATATCTAATATCATTCATGATCCTAATTCCCTATCTCTAACAATCCTGCTACCATCAAACCAACTCTAAACTAGAAACCTCAGGCATTTTCTAATGGCCCATACTACCCTACCCCCAATATTGGATTTATCTTGCCTTAGAATGTCGCTTAAATCCATCCCTTCCTGGCTTTCCATTGCCTCCTCCTCAATTCAAACCATTATGTCTTGCCTAGATTCTAACATTTTTTCCTAATTAATCTCCTAATCTCTATCTCCTTCCAGCCCATCAACATAATCTGATGGTATCACTCCCATCTTAATTTTTATGTTAAATATTCCCAACATAACTGTCTTGCTTTGATGATTCAGAGGACACTTCAGAGTCATTCAGTGTTTCAGGGTCTTCATTATAAACATCAAATCTTATTGAAATGTACAGGTTGCTAAAAAGTTGATAAAGGCTAAACATACAACAGAGTTGACTAAACTCGTATCTAAGAAACAGACTTTTTTTTTTTAATAACTCTTCGCCTGCTAGACCTAACATAAGAACATTCTGTGAAGGACCTGGTTTTCTTGGGTAAAATAAAACAATTACTTATTTACTGAAACAGATTTACGGAGAACTCATTAAGCGTCAGTTTCTGTGGCAGAAAAAAGTAATAAAGACAGATGAGCTTAACGCATGCACTCAGAATTAGGAATAAATAAAACAGCATGCTATTAAAAAAGTTTTTCAATGTTCCCAACTGACTCAAAGGTAAAGTCCACTCCCCCAAAAACAGTATACAAAGCACTCCTTAAATTGACCTCAGCCCTCTTTATACCTTTCTCTGAGCACCAGCCACTCTGAAGGGCCAGTTAACTAAACACACCATTTTGAATGTCACACCTTTGTGTCTTTGCAGATGTCTCTGCCTGGAATGCTCCTTCTCGTTGGTTAGTTCTCTCATTAAGTCAAAATTTACCGAGCATTTACTACATACAAGTTCTGTTCCAAATACATTTTATGTATTAATTTAGTTATTCTTAACCATGATACTAGGTAGACATTATGAAGAGGAATGTATTCTTCAGTTTTCCAAGGAACACAGCTGTAAGTAGTCACAAAGATAGGATCTGAACCCTTGGAATAAGGCTACATTAAGATCACCACATGACAACTATGCCATCCTCCCTCTCCAAGAGATATGCTGCAGGACAGTAAACACAGACAGGGTCCTCAAACAACCACAGAGGGAGAGAAGCCTCTGAAATATTAACGAGGAGGAGGAGGTTTAATTCAGATCTAGCATCTGCAGGGCTGGTGAAGATGCCCATTTCACACTTTTTGAGACTACAATAGAAAAATCAAAGTAATCACAATGTGTTATAATTTGGGTCCTCAGAAAATGTTTCTGTACATGAAATCAAAGCAACTCAGAGAGGATTAGGTTAACAAAAGGAAACTATGAAGACCACACAGAAAACAGGAAATGTTATGTGTGGAATAAAAAAGGATTTAGAAAGTAGGATCACACAGTAATTGAAACTACGTAAAATATATGTGCAAGTGGACATGGTCCAAGACAAAAATATATTAAGTTGTCATACTAGGGTTTTGGGCTTGTTTAATGTTGCTGATAAGCTTTATATAGAATAATAAATTTAAATATGATCTCATTTACACCCATATGTAAAATCATGGATGTATGGACATAGGCATTAAGAACAGTTATTGTTAGATCAGATTCTCATTTTCTTTTTTAAAGATTTTATTTATCTATTTTTAGAGAGAGGGGAGTGAGGAAGAAAGGGAGGGAGAGAAACATCGATGTGAGAAAGAAACATCAATCATTGCCTCTCATATATGCCCCAACCTGGGACCAAACCTGCAACCCAGGCATGTGCCTTGAGAGGAAATAGAACCAGAGGCCTTTCATTTTGAGGAACGATGCCCAAGAGAGCCACAGTGGTCAGGGCAGAGTCTAATTATTTTCTAAAAAATTCAAAATAAATGAGAAAAAGTTTTTAAAACTCTGCGAAGCAGGGAGGCCCAATTTAATATTTACTGAATCACATAAGGACTGACAGTTTTAAGGCATAATTACTTGCTGGTCAAGAACCAATTTTTTTTCCAGATTATTAAAAAGTATATTATGAAAGTTACAGAGGTAGTAGAAGTGAGCCAAAGGACTGTGTAGGCTCAGGAAACAAGTTAGAGAAGCAAAAGAAGGGCCCTTGGAACTTAGGAGAGGGAAAGGCAAAGGAAATACGCCTCGGGGGAAGAAGAAGGTGAAGGGAAAGGCACAGACACGCTCCCCAGAGGCAGAGCACAAGAACCATTTTTTAAATGTTTCCTATGATAGACTACAGCATAAACTAAAGCAGGGTTTTTTAACCTTAGCGGTATTGACATTTTGGGATGGATAACTTTGTTGGGAAAGGGTACCTGTCCTGAGCATTGAAGGATGTTTACTCCATAAGAATCCCTGAGCTAAAAACATCTCTTCTCCTCACATTTATTAAACAAGTATTTCAGTGACTAATACATACCATACAGAATACTGATAACCAAAACTGAGTGAAGGGAGTAGCCATTCATTACATAACCCATCCTGCTCTTCATGTGTATTTGAAAAATATCCTTAATAAAGTATTTCAATACAAGTAACTAATAAGTGCCAGGCCCCAGGCTGTGTTGACGTTAAAACAGAGAACAAGGCAAATCCAAGCCCAGCATTCACAGAGCTCAGTCTACTTTCTGCATGAGAAGCATCATTTTCCATGCCCGGAAGGCTTGAAAGTGGATGAGGGGCTATCAGTAGCCAGCCACTGATGAAAGAATATCTGCTGAGGCAAAGAGCTTGGAATTCTCACTGGTTCTCCACCTGTTGGTTGGGCAACCCTGTTCCCTCATAGACTAGAGACACCTGGGATGAAAAGTAACTACTTTCAGCCCCAGCCAGGTAGTTCAGTTGGTTAGAGCATCATCCCAATACACCAGGGTTGAGGGTTCAATCCCTGATCAGGGCGCATACAAGAATCAACCAATTAATGCAAAAATAAATGGAACAACAAATCGATGTTTCTTTCTCTCTCCCCACCCCTTCCTCTCTCTCTAAAATCAATAAATAAAAGTAACTATTTTCTTGTAATGCTAACTGCCACTGTTACAGAAATCCAATTTCAACAATTAATCAGAGGAGACATATATGGGTCCAGGATATATTACAGCCTGCTGCTTGCTACCACACATTATGAGGGGAGACCCAAAAGAACCCAGAATTATCTTCTGGAGGGCAGGCCTCTTGTAGTACAGGCTTCCCCCACTAGGTGAGTGTTCTAGAAACCCATCTGTATTAGTGTACCAACAGGCATTGTTGTGAGGGGCTGAATTCAGCTTTGGTGAATTTTTTTTAAGGCTCAACACGTTTTCCCATTTCATGATGGGTGATTTATGAGCACATCTGTCCACATCACGCTGAGTGTTCAGCAGTTTTTGAATAAAAACAGCATGACCCCTATGCCCCACCCTCCCTATTCACCCAATCTTGTCCCAGCAACTTTTTTCTGTTTCCCCGGATTAAGAAGTCCTCAAAGGGAAATGTTTTGCTGATGTGGAAGGGGTAAAACAAAAAACAGCAAAAGCACTAAAAGGCACCAACATTGAGAAGTTCAAAAACTGTTTTGAGCAGTGGAAAAAAATGTCTCAATAGTTGTACTGCATCAAATGGAAAGTACTCTGAAGGTAACTGAAGATTAAACATGTAAGAATAGATACACAGTTTTTTATAAATAAATTGTTTTTTGGGAGTCTCCCCTCATATATTAATTGAAACACATTCTAATATACCAGGCACTTCCTAAGCAATTCTTATACCTTATGATTCCAATCCTGATCGCATAATCTATAACAAGAGGCACATATACATATAAATGTTCTGACTATTCCTTAGCTTACCTTTTACCCTTAATTTTGGTTTCTCGTACTTCCAAATTATTCTCTTCCTCATCTTCTCCCTTCACCTACAAAAGGTCAAAAAAGGTTATTCTTTTTTTATGTCTGTTGGCCTCTAAATTTTGAGTCAACAATTAACCAACAGCCTCAAACTATCCACATTAAAGTATTCAAACTACTAGAACTTTTTAGAGACTGAATTCTGGTGTAACAATTTTTTTATCTGAAATATGAGAACATTGTCAAAGACTTACTTCTGCACTGAAAAGCTTTATTATAAGCTCTATAAATAAATAACATTTTCCTGAATGATCAAATTCACACATGCAAATAATTACACTCCCAAATACACTTCACTGTAAAATCCTGAAAGGCTTCTTTCTAGATGCTTATGTCTTCATTTACATCCAAATATACATAGGCAATAAATGTGATTTTTTTTTTTTGTAGGAGAAGTCTCATACATAAACAAAACCATTTTTACGTGCACAAAAGAAGTTAAACAGTGGCAAAGCCCTTCAGAAGAGGCCAATGGCCACGGCTTGGCACACTCCCTTATTCTTATCCTTCACTACAGCAGGATGTATAACCAGGAAAAGGATGTTAACTCCAGCAGGCAGCAGGGTCTTTCTGGGAAAGAGCAGGCATCTCAAATCATGAGACTGTATAACAGACTATAAGAAGAAAACATTAATACACACACCACTGATCTCCTTGCCAAACCTACCTCCACCAAAAGAAAAAAATATTAAGACAAACTTTCAGCACTGAAGCACTGATTCCAAATAGGGTATACTAAGCAATAATGAGGAAGCTATTTTTAATATTTCAAAAGCCTAAAAGTAATCATACACTTATCCCCCATGATGTTGTGCAGGCTAATAAAAATAACAAATTTCAATACGTTCAAATCTATCACAAATGGAGCATTCTAGTATATTCATGAACATCACTGTCTTAATAAGAAATATTTATTACTTAATAAAATATTAGAGCCCTGGCCAGGTGGCTCAGTTGGAGCGTCATCCCGTGCACCAAAAGATTGTGGGTTCAATCCCTGGTCAGGGAACACACCTAGGTTGCAGTTAGATCTCAGTCAGGGTGCATACAGGAGGCAACCAATCAATGATTCTCTCTCACATCAATGTTTCTCTCTGCCCCTTCCTCCCTCTCTAAAATCAATGAATATATCCTTGGTTGAGGGGGGTTTTTTTAAAAAAAAAAAAAGAAAAAAAAAGCTTAGAGAGACAAAATATTTTAAACATAGCATCCATGTGAGAAGAAAAATATAAGATGGGTCCTTGGTTAATAAGATGAGGAAACAAACCATAAAAGACATTTTTGGGGAAACTGAATTTGTCCTGTTTATAAGATTATGTATTACTAGTCATTGGAGGGGAGGGTATGTTAATGGTATGGTGGTTGTTATGAACTGAATGTTTGTCCTCCCCCCAGTTCATATGTTGACATTCTAACCCCCAAAAAGTGACAGCATTAGGAGATGGGGCCTTTGGGGAGGTGACAGGTCATGAGAGTGGCACCTTCCTGAATGGGACTAGTCCCCTCATAAGAGACCCCAGACTCTGGCTGGGTGGCTCAGCTGGTTGGAGCGTTGGTTGGAGTATCGTCCAGTACACCGTAAGGTTACGGGTTTGATCCCTGGTCAAGGCATGCTCAGCTCCCCTATCGATGTTTCTGTTTCTGTTTCCCTCTCTCTCAAATCAGTAATATACTCAGGTGAGGATTTTTTTTTTTTAAAGGGGAGTGCAAGAGAGCTCTCTTGCTCTCTCTACCATATAAGGAGAAAACTGCCACCAGCAACCCAAAAGGCAGACGTGCCCACGCTATTTCAGACTTCTATCCCAAGAACTGTTAGAAATAAAGTCTGAGGGTTCTCTCCATGGAACACACTCATGCCTTGTACCTTTCGCCTTCCTCCTTCTCCTTCTCTCCCCTACTAGAGCACCTTTCCTCCCCTCCCTTTCCTCTCTCAAAGTATTCATCTCCCTCTCAGTCTCCCCCTTCTCCTTCCCTACCTTTGCTGTAACTTGTTTCACCACCCCATGGCTTACCTCTTCCATGGCTCACCTCTTCCTCTGCAACTTTCTCCATAAACTTTCTCCATAAACTTTCTCTTACAATTTGAATCCTGGCTCTGAATCCTCTTAGCCAGAACTCAAGAACTGAGCTTGCTGAACTGAGGTCTAACACCTGGTGCCATTTTCCTTTGCTAACAAAAAGATAACCAAAAAACGTAAGTTGAATTTCTAAACTAAAGCCAAGGCTTTCAGATGGTGATATAGGGTAACAAATAAATGGTGCAAAAAGGAGTCAATTGCCTCTTTGAAATAAGAACATATTAAGGTCAGCTGTTGATTTTTTTTTTTTTATGCCTAAAGGTATCCTTAGACAGCAGTAAATACTCTTTAATTTCCAGCGCTAAAAGTTCTTCCTAATTTTCAGAACATAGGAAAATACAAAATTCAACCCAAATCCAAGGGACAGTGGACAAATGTCTTGAAATTGAAAGTGTTTGGGAGCATCCACTGATGAATAATACTTAAGATATTAATAAATAACTGCTACTCTAAGGAATATTGGAGGACACCAAGCTGGTCTCAATTCAAGAAGCTTCGAAAACATGTTATTAGTTCCACAAGGTGTCAACAGGCCATGAAAATAAGTAGTGTCTCCCTTCTGTAGGCACCAGCTTTTTAAATATAATAAACCTAAAATGTTTTTCCCAACCATGGTATTTGCTTTTCAGATGAATATAATTTTGGAAGTAAAAAGCTAGGAAAAAAAAAGAAATGGTATCACTATTCAAAATGGAATCCATAATTCAATACATTCATAGAGTTCTGTTTTTCCAGTTGATAAAACTACCAAAGAAAAGCCTCAAAAATATTTTATAGGAACTTCTCTTCATCCCACCTGCAATTACTAAAGGAACATTTATTATATTTTTTCCTGTTCTAAAAGTTATTCATGTTCACTTTAATTTGGAAAATACTGTACAACCCAATGAAACAAATGATACAATCTATAATTACATCAGTTATTGAGTACCACTGTTAATATCTGTAATATTTCCTCCTAGTGTATTTTTTACATAAATATGTAATCAGCATATTGTGCTTCACCATTTTGGAGGCTCATAATCCTTTTAACATGGTATTACCCAGCCACCAAAGCTGGAGACTTACACACTATTACTTATATTCAATAGAGCATCAAATACTGTAGCTTCTATCGCCTTTCAGTCTATTATATCTCATATTTTTCCTTCTCTAGTCACAATGTTAACGCCGTAATCTATATCATCTCTCCTCTTAGTTATGGTACTAGAACTAATTTGTATCTCTATTTTTTGTTTCACATTTCATCTTTCACAAAAAAGGAAACCAATAAATAAATAAACTTCTGTTATTTATAAACTAAAAATAAAAGAGGTTGATGAGGAACCTCAGGCTCCCTGTCAATAATCACCACAGTCCCTTCTACCAGTTCCTAAAATTCTGCATGTAGGATTGAAGGTAATCCATTGAAAAAAACTTCTTTTTTAGGAATGAGAACTAAACAAAGGATGCTGAAATTGGCTTTCAAAGCTCTCCAGGTACCGCTGAACTGTTTTCAACTGGAACTGAAATCCAAATTCAGAGGCTTGCAATCTGAGTCTGCAACCAGAATACCAGAACAGGTTCCTTTTTTTCCTTCAGTAGCGTGGCTATAAAAAAATTTCTAGCAACTTCAGCAAAGCCTCCAAGTCAATTGTTGGAAAATACACACCCTCTGTATTAACTGTATCATCCAGTTATGCTTCCCATTGGGATAGGGTTATAAAGGAGCACACATATCTATTTAACTGTTCTGTCTCTTGGACTACAAAATTAACAAGTAATTTTGGATATATGTGGTGATGTGAATGCAGCTCTAATACCCCAACGCAACTCTCACAGTCATCTAGGCCAGAAGAGGTAATGTGGGTAGCGAAGAACACAAAAAAAGTTTGAGCTTAACCTAGCTTAAGTCCTGACTCACTCACCACTCTAATAAAACCTCACATAGGGCATTAAACACCTTAGCCTCCCAGACTACATACTCACCTGCGGTAAAAACCCACACCTCAAAGGGTTATGAGGGTTAAATGAGAACTTAAAATACCTATCACAATACCTGACAACAAGCAGATTCTCAATAAAATATCAGTATAGTAACCCAGCTTGTAAGCATTCTCCAGCATGATGGCAGTTACGAGTTACCTTCTGATTTGATCTTGTTATACTGCGGCAACCTCATTATATCAGGACTAGCTTTAAGGATGGATTTAATATTCAAAACACTCAAAGGTGGCAACAGCACAAATATAAATGAAGTGTTAATCCATCTTTCCACAAACCGTTCAGAACTGAGCAAAAGCTCATAATGGACAAGACATAAATAGGAGTCATTTCGGAAGTATAATCTCCATAAATTCGCTTTGTATCTCCAGATTCAGTCAGAAAGTAAAGTGTGCTTAGAAGAAATGATACTTTAATGACTATTCTCTTAATAATTGGGTGATCACTTATTAGACGTTAATGAAAATGGCATCACACCTTAAGAAGTGTATTATATTAACAACTGTTTCAAATTATTACAAACTTAAAAAAGCAAAGCTCTGTAGTTGTATATTCCCTCTATTCCCAAAACCAACATTTTTTCTCTGAGTTATCAAAGTGTTCGGTGAAATACCTGGAAGTACACGACGCATGAGCTGAAATGTGAATGAGAACCGGAAGGGGGAAGGCAGAGAACTGGACTTTACCTTTCTGTGCAGTTTAAACAGGCTTACATGACTTGCATGATTTTTAAAACTAACTTAAAGCAGCATGAAATTTTTAAAAACGTCCATTAGCAACCTTAAGTGGGTTATATTAACAATGGTTTCAAATGATTACAAACTTAAACACAAAACCTATCACTATGACACCTACAAAAGGCCAGATACTGAATTAAAAAAATTAAATTTTATTTAATTTATTCGTCCTCCAGTCGGGCTACCACGTTGTCATGAGAAATGAAAATTTGAAGCACACTGGCAGCCTAGTAAGCTCTTCGCTTAGGCTATTATCTTCCTTTTACTGGGGCGAGTAGGATCGCTCGGCCCAAGGTCACCAGCGCGGGTCGCAAAAGCCACCCAGGAGTGGCTTGCTCAAAGGAGAGGTGCGGCCCCCGCCGGAAGCAGGCTTACGGTGACGTGTCCAAAGCCGAAGAACTGACGCTCCAACGCCCCGGGCTCCACGTTTCCTCAGAGGCTGAGAGGGGAGCGGGGTCGAAGGACAGGCCCTGGGAGCGACGAAGGCCCGCCCCACTCACCTGCACGCCGAGATGTGCCAGCCGGGCCTCGAGCTCTGGCTCCAAGGCCAAAAGGAAAGAGGTGGCGCGGGACGTGGAGCTGCCGCCGGGGTGCGCCAGGACCACCTCGACCGTCACCTTGGCCAGGTGGCTGCTTAGGTCCACTGTGCGCTTCACGTCCTCGTTGACCAAGGGCAGCGCATCTGGAGAGGCGATGCCTGGCCCCGGGGCCCAGGCCCCGAGCAAAAGGAGCAGAAGCAGCCAGGAGGAAGATACTTCCATGACCAGGAAAGAGCTGAGAAGCAAGGCACAGTCCGCCCCGCCTCCTGGCCGCCGCGCAGCCGCTCATTGGGCTCAGGCTGGCGCCACACGATCGCGGCATTTGAGGAAGAAGGACCCTGTCTCCAGGGCAACAGGCGGGCCGCCAGGCGCCTGATTGCAGGGCCCCTCATTTATCTAATTTTCCTTTTATAGGTTTTATTTTTTTTTAATAGGAAGAGAGAGAGAGGAGAGGGAGTGCGGAGAGAGAGGAGGAGGGAGGGGGAGAGCAGAGGGAGGGAAAGGGAAGGGTGACAAAGAGAGAGAGAGACATAGGTTTATTGTTCTACTTATTTATGCTTTCATTGATTTATATTTCTATGTGTCCTGACGGTGGATCAAACCTGCAACCTTGGCCTATCAGAGTGCTCTAACCAACTGAGGTACATGGCCATAGGTTCATTTATCTAATTCTTACAGAAACTAGCCCCTGCCAATCTGCTCTCTCTTACTGTACTTGCCCTGCAATAACCCTGGCCTTTCTGCTCCTTGAAACAGAAAAATGTAGCTCACACAGAGTCAGTAAAAGCCCAGGCAAAAGTTTAAGCAGAAAGAGGATATCTACACAGTCTCAAGGATTTCCACTAAAATATGTAGCAATTACAAAAGGGAAAATAGTAAGTTTACACTGGAGAATCCTGGCGGGCACTCCATTACCAAGTAATCGAAGTTAACATTGTCAATTATAAGACATAGTGACATCTATAGCCACTATGTGATATACTCAGCAGTGCACCTCACTTCTATTCGATTGCTACAGAATTGCTGAAAATGCGTAACTTCAATGCAACCATAAGAAATACCAGGCAAACCGAAAGCACTCTGATTTTATCCCAGTGTAACTCATTTCAGACTTCTGTCTTCGAGAACTGTATACACAGTAAATTTGTGTTATTTTAAGCCACTAAGTTTGTGGTAATTTGTTACAACAGTAAGCAAGTAATAGGTAGGCTGAGGGCAGGGAAGATCGTTCATCCCATGATCCCAGGCACATAGTTGGTCAATAAACACTAACTGAATTAAAAATGTGTTTTCATTGTAAACATTATTAGCCCGTTTTATAAATGGGTAAACTCACATATCCAAGCCAGTAAATGTCAGGTTGGTTGGAAACCTGGACTGACTCCAAAATGGAGCTCTTTCCAGTACCCCAGGCTATTGCATAAAACCCCAGGTTCTCACAAAAAAAAAAAAAAAAAAAAAAAAGGCATTAGTGTTCCCAATCTAATCTTTATTTCCCAAATATGACATACAGGTCCAGAAAAGTTAAGTTGCCCAAAGCCACACAGTTATTTAAGAGCAGAACTGGAACCAGAGACCTTATCTCCTGCCTCCCTTCCGTCAACAAGCCCAGAATGGATAATGTTAAACCCTTTAACAGTCATTATTAAAATACAATACAGGGAAGCTGTTTTCACAGAGTTCAGTTGCAAATCTAGGGAGATCCACTGGACCAAAGGAATGAACTGATTTGATTTTTTTCCACCAAGTGGCAGTTACACAACAAAAATATCCCCAAATTATCTGGGAGTTTCAGAACTTCAGTTTCCCCTGGAAAACTTCTGCCTAGTTCACATTCTCCCAGCATCCATCCATCTCTCTCTCTCTCTCTCTCTCTCTTCTCCCCGCCAACCCACCCTCTCCCCCCCACCTTCCAACCCTCTCCCCCTCCACCTCCCTTCTCTCTCAGACTGAGGCTCTGATCACCCTTGCCCCTGTTTATGAGATGTTGGTTCCATTCCAGGAGAGGCAAGTCAAGAGGAATTTGGATTATTCCCGCCCCCCTCCTACATTCACTTTTCAGCTCTTAGAGGGAGTGTGTCATTCAGAGAGAAGTTTTCTTTGTTCCTTTCCCTGGTTCTGGAGTCCTGGCTCAGAGACTTTGGCTGGGTAGAGAAACAGGTAGTAAAACAGATAGTTCCTAATCTCTTTCCAAAATAAATACAGTGGAACCTCAGTTCTTGAACTTAATTCATTCTGGAAGGCTGTTCAAGAATCAAATTGTTTGAGATGGGAGAACTGCTGTTTGACTGTAACTGTATTTGCAACAGAGGTTGGAGAAATACAAGCCTAAGGGACACTTCCAAGAACAACAGAGGTTGTGATGAAAGGCAGAAGTGTAGGCCAGCAATTTTCAGAAGAGAACATGGAATAAATATGACAGATAGGGGGAGCCCTGCTAGAATTGGAACAAATGCCAAATAACAGCTTCACAAACTATTCCTTCAAAGGAGCCAAATTTGATTGGGTTAGTTTGTATAGCAATTTATGCCCCAAGGCATTGCAGAAAACAATTGAACAATTATCTGCAATTAGTAAAGTTTAACAACATGGTATATAATCAGGGAAAAAGATGAAGAGAGCCCTTACCAAAATCACTCTCATCCCAAAGTAACCAAAGCTGCACCTCCCTGCAACACCAGAGGCTTTTTAAAATTGTGAGAGAGAAAATAGACTTCACTAAAAGAATTTGGCCAGTCAATAAACAAATGAATAAGCAAATAAGCCATAAAGGTAGGGAAAGGAATGAAGTACCCCAAGTTCCTATAATATATTATCTAAAATGTCCAGATTCTACCTAAAATCATGATGCATACAGAGAAACAAAGTGTTAAACCAGAAGAAAAACTAGCAGCCAATCAAAACTGTCTGTGAGAGTATAAAACAGGAGCTTGAAACCAGGGAGCTGCTTAAGTGTTCATGATATTCCGAAAAAACCATCCAGAGGACCAGCAAAAGTGGACTTGCAGTTTCTTATTCACATTGCAAGGGAGTACTCAGATGGCGGTGAATCAATGCAAGAGGAACTGCGCCTCCTCCAGTCTAAGGCTCATTATCAGGCAGGGTGTCCAACCTTTTGGGATCTCTGGACCATACTGGAAGAAGAAGAGTTGTCTTGAGCCACACATTAAATACACAAACACTAATGAAAACTGATGAGCAAAAAAAAGTTTTTAAGTAAATTTACAATTTTGTTTTGTTTTTGCCTGCATTCATTGCCATCCTGGACCGTATGTGGCCCGCAGAAAGGCAGCACCGGTCCAGGTTGCAAAATCTGCATTTGGCCTGTACCTATATTATGTCAGCGTGTTATGTGCAGAAGGAAAAGGTCAGGAAGCAGTCACCAGGCAAGAAGCAATCCCCGGGGGAGATAATCCACAGAGAGTGACCAGATGTTGGATTTATCAGAAAAAGTCTGCAAATAGCCATTATTAACATGTTCACAGAATTAAATGAAACCAAGAATAATGAGTAAAAGAATAAATAATGACCATTTCACAACAAATAGAGATATCAATAGAGATAAAAATGATTAAAAAGAACCAAATGGAAATTCTGAAGTTAAAAAGTACAATATTATTATACTATACGAAACGTATTGAGATTAAAAATTCACTAGAGGATCTGAACTGGCATAATAAAGACTAAGAAGGCCCTGGTTGGTAGCTCAGTTGGTCAGAGCATCATCCCAATAATTCAAGGTTGAGAGTTCCATTCCCCATCAGGGCACATACAAGAATCAACCAGTGAATGAATAAATAAGTGGGACAACAAATTGATGTCTCCCCTCCCCCCTGTTGCTCATCTCTAAAAATCAATAAATAAAATTTTTAAAAAAGAATAAGCAAACTTATGATAGATCAGTTAGAGTTGCAGGCCAAAGAACAGAGAGGTAAAAAGAATAAAAATAAATAAACAGAGCCTCAGAGAAATGTAGGACATCATTAAACACATTACCAAATGTATAATGGCACACCAGTAGAAGAACAGAGAAAGAGATGAGCAGAAAAAAATATATATATTCCAAGAAATAACAGCTGAACGCTTCTCAAAATTATTTTTAAAAAAATAACCTGCACATCCAGGAAATTCAACAAAATCTAAGTAGGATAAATATAAAAGTCCACAAACAGATACATTATATAAAAATGCTGATAGTTAAAGACCTTGAAAACATTGAGAGAAAACCACTCCTTACTTACAAGGGAACTAGAATAATATTAGCAACTATCTTTTTAACAAAGACAATGGAGGTCATAGAGCAGTGGGATATCTTATTCAAAGTGGTCAAATAGAACTATCAAACATTTCTGAGGAATTAGAAAATACTTTCAGATAAAAGAAAACAAAGCTATTAGTATTCATGGGGTGCAGCTATAGCAGCACTTAGATGAAAATTTATAACTGTAAATATCTATATTAAGAAAAAAGAAATATCTCAAATCAATAAACATCAGACATTTAGTACCCTGACCAGTATGACTCATTTGGTTGAGCATGGTCCCACAAAGAGAAAGGTTGCTGGTTTGATTTCCAATCAGGGCACATACATAGGCCTCAGGCCTAGTCCCTGGTTGGGGTACATGAGAGAGGCAACCAATCAATATTTCTCTCACACATCAATGTCTCTCTCCCTCTCTTTCTCCCTTCCTTTCTCTAACTCTAAAAATAAATAAATAAAATATTTTTTAAAAAAACACAAGACACTATTAAAAGAGAAAATTAAACCAAGAGTGGAGGGAAGAAAATATTAAAGATTAGAGCAAAAATTAATGACCTAGAAACACACAGGGAAAACCAATTAAACCAAAAACCGGTTCTTTGAAAAAAAATCAACAAAACTGACAAATCTAGAGCTAGGCTAAACAAGTAAAAAAGACAGAAGATGCAAACTACTAGAAATAGAAATGAGGTACGGGAGCCGCTGCTGCCACGTCTGGATCCAGCACTGCCCACCACCAAGGCCCCCTCCACTGTGCAAACCCAATTTCTTTTGGTTCTGAGTCCAGTGTGGAAACTCTCAAGGATCAGTTGATTGTGAATCTCCTAAAGGAAGAACAAACCCCCCAGAATAAGATTACAGTCGTTGGGGTTGATGCTGTTGGCATGGCCTGTGCTATCAGTATCTTAATGAAGGACTTGGCAGATGAACTTGCTCTTGTTGATGTCATGGAAGATAAATTAAAGGGAGAGATGGGTCTCCAACATGGCAACCTTTTCCTTAGAACATCAA